TTCACAAGTCTGGTGCTCTGCCCTAATCCTCAGTCAACTATTAATACCAATAGGTAGTGGGGCAAGTAGTCCATACCTAGATTATAGATTGAATACTTATTTCACACTAACTGTTTAGGCTCTGCTGAGTTCATTGGGATAAACTCATAAACACATACATAAAGACTGAACTGGTTAGAAGGCACAGATCAGGAAATCACCCAGAGAACTTCCATGACTGAGAGAGAACTTTAACCAAGAGCTCCCCAATGCCAATTCAACATCTTAATCATTTCATCACACTGGCATCTTTAAGTCAGTCATTGTTTACCAGCCCAATTCCTCATTAAAAATTTTTGTAAGCAAATGGAAGACACTTATGTATAAATGCAGTGAGATTCCTAGAGAAAATGGCTTTGAATAAGAGTGAAAGAGAAGTATGAAAAACAGGATAAAACAAAAGAAGAAGAGGTCCACTTCCCAGTGGAGAAAGGCCATCTAGGCTAGCATTCTGCTCCCATGATGACCAACCAGCTAACTAAGTCTCTGTCTCACCCTTGCTCTGGTTACTTGCTCACCACTCGCTACTAAAAACTATTAGTTTTTTTAAGAGCCATGGTGGCACAGTGATTAGAATGCAGTATTGCAGACTGATTCTACCCACTGCCAGGAGTTCAATCCTGATTGGCTAAAGATTGAATCAGCCTTCCATCCTTCCAAGGTTGGTAAAGTGAAGACACAAATTGACTCTGTAAACTGCTTAGAGAGTGCTGTAAAGCACTGTGAAGTGGTATATAAATCTAAGAACAATTGCTGATTTATAAATATTTATTATCAATGAATCAAAGATGTTAAGAAGAATTAGAGGTTCCTGTATAGTGTAGACAACAGGAGAATCTCATAACTTCTATGGCATGAGTGGCAACAGACCTCAAATTATAGAACAAAAATAATTTTTAGAACATAGTGGACTCTTATGTTTCTTTAGAAAAGAGCATTTTTTTGGTGATATAACTTTAAAACATATATTTCTACAATGTCCTATACTTACCATGTTTTGGGAGAATGTAGTGTGATATATATAATATGTGACAAAAGCTGAACTTTTCAACTTTTCAGAGGATAATTTTTTTTTTGAGCTATATATGTACAGCTGTGAAAATTGAACCATGAGAAAGGCTGAGCACCAAAGAATTGAGGCTTTTGAATTATAGTGCTGGAGAAGACTCCTGTGAGTCCCTTGGACTGCAAGGCAATCAAATCGGTCAGTCCCAGGAGGAGATCAACCCTGANCCCGGATTGTTGTTGGGGGCAATATGCTGACTCTGTAAACCGCTTAGAGAGGGCTGAAAGCCCTATGAAGCGGTATATAAGTCTAACTGCTATTGTCCATCATTGGCAACAGTGTGTAGTAAATGCTAGTGATTATGTGGAGAAGTGCAGATCATTTCAAGGATGATTTCCCTATTTCGTTGTTTAAAATATTCCCATTTAAACTAAAATTTATGGAGCTGCTTATTTTTCATTCAACCCTTGTATATCCAAACTTCTTCTCTATTTCCAAGAATAAGCAGAATCTTATCTCCGATGATTCACAGGCTAGGATCAGCAGCAATATAACAGGAAGCATAAAAACAAAATAACCCTGAAGTAGCTTTCTCCAATTCTATGCCTTCCAGATGAAATTGGACCTCGGTTCCTACAATTCTTAATCAGCATGGATGTCAGTTATATCGCCTGGGGGAATCATGGAAGTTGTAGCTCAACATTATAGGGGCTGAACTCATAATTGCCCGTTAGGTTACAAAGTAGATCTGCCTTGTTCTCACCTTCTATGTACAGGTAGTCCTCAACTTATGACCACAATTGAGCCCAATTTTTTTGTTGCTAAGTAAGAGAGTTGTTAAGCGAGTTTTGTCCCCTTTTGCAACCTTTCTTGCCAGAGTCATTAAATGAATCACTGCAGTTGTTAAGTTAATAATACAGTTCTGAAGTGAATCTGGCTTCCCTATTGATTTTGCTTGCCAGGTCTCAAAAGGTGATTGCATGATCCCAAGACACTGCAAACATTATAAATAAATGCCAGTTACTAACTGCACACGTTTTGATCATATGACCATGGGGATGCTACAATGGTCATATGTGTGGAAAAATGATTGTAAGTCATTTTTTTCAATGCTACTGTAGCTTGGAACATCCACTAAATGAATGGTTAAGTCGAGAATTACCTGCATTCCTAGATTTGAAAGTCAGGGGGATAGATCTTTGCTAAGGCGCTTAGTCACAGTTTTCCAGCCATTCAGTCATGGAAAAAGCCATTGAGCCATGGTCCTCAATCCTTCCTTAGCTAAGTACAGACAGCTTTCTCCTAAGCTTGCCAATACCCCTACCTGACTCTTTTCTACTTGCACAGTCTTTAACTGTTCCGTTAGGTAAGCACAGCTGCCTATTTCATTCAAACCTAGTGTTTTGCATGATGATTATCTTCGTCTAGTTCGTAAGCAGTGGGTTGAAGCTGAATTGTTTTGGTATCAGACTTCACCCATAATTCCCAGCTTAGGCAAAACAATAAATCAGGACCCGTCAAAACTAAAGAGATTCTGAAATTCTCCTCAATAACATAAGGGACAACAAGAGACTCCAACTAGCCAAAAAGGCTACATTCATTTATGTCACATTATATAAAAGCTTAGTCTAGCCTCCAAACATGACGAAAGTTTTGCATATCTCTTACGTGTTATTATTTTATTTGCCCAGCTATGACTGAAAAGCACAGGCAGAAATATCTTTTTTCTTAAAAGACCAATCCAATTCCTTGTCTTGATCAAGGAAGTATCATTTCTACTCTTAAGTAATATTAGAAACATACTCTGGTTTCTTTTCAGAAGAAAAGAAATCTGGCCAAAAGTAATTAGAAACATTCAATCAGAAGTAAAGAAAGTGCTCTCTGAATGTTTAATATGGTAAACTGACTGCAAACAGCACTGATTATCTCCAAACTCATGTCAAAATGAGAGGGTGAAGTTCCAGCCAGCCCATCTGGAGAGCACCAAAATGAGAAGGCTGTTTGAGAATAAATACCCCTGTAACCCTCCTGACAGTATTTCAAATATTACCTGTACAAGGTTTAATCGTATGAACTGGTTTTCCAACATGGGACAACCTGCTACAATTCTCCTTAACTTTTACACAGTATTGTATTTTACCCAAGTCAGCCTGTCACTGGGATGTTATCATCATTCCCACAACACGTTAATAATCAGGATTCTAAATGTTCTCTGTTCTTTAGCTAAGGCTTACATTTATTCCAATGTATGTTACGGTGGCTCAGGAGCATTTTAGATTATGACCGCAATCTGCCATTTCAAAAGAAAACCCCTATTACTGAATCCGCCAGAGAGGAGCTCCAACCTATTCATTACTTTTTTTTGCCCAGGAAGAAGCTGCCTCAGGGAGGGCATTCGCTTTTTGCCCGGAGATTTAGCTTACAAGGCCCGTCCCGTCTGTTCATACCTCATGTGTGTTTTAAGTGCCGAAGGCTGAGAAAACTTAGCCTCACACTCTGTGCACCCATAAGGCTTGTCGCCTGTGTGTGTCCTTTCATGAAGCCTCAGGGCCGTTTTGGAGCTCAAACCCTTTCCACACTGGAGGCAGTGATGACGCTCCCCACCACCCTCATGAACCTGCAGAATGTGCCGCTTGACGTCCTTCTTGCGCTTGAACTTCTTACCACAGAGCTCGCATGGGAAGTGGCGCTCGCTGCTGTGGACGTGGCGCTGGTGGCTTTTGAGGTTGCACCGGTTGGCAAAAGTCTGGCCGCAGGTTTCGCAACGGTAAATGATTTCGGCTGCGATGCCATGGCTCTGCTTGATGTGTTTCAGAAAGCTCTTCTCGTAGAGGAATTCCCGCTCACAAGTACTGCAAGTAAAGTTGCCACTGCGGTTCTTTTTATCCTCCTCCAGTTTAGTCAGGTTTTCTTCCCGGTGGTCCTCAGCACCATCAGGCCCTTTCTCCTCTAGCTTCACACTGCTCAACACTTGATCTTTCTCCTCCTCCTCCTCCTCCTCGCCCCCACCCTTTTCACGGGGGCCCTGGTCTTTGGAAAGCCAGCTCTCCTCCACAACAGCTTCAGCAAACTTCTGTTGCTCTCGCAGGCGCCTTGTGTACTTCTTCTTGGGTATCTCCACAAAGACTTTTCTGCCAGCCAACCTGCCACTCGCCCGCCTGATTTTGGCACAGGGGGGCTTCAGGGCTTCTTTTTTTTTGTCCAACTTTTCCTTTAATTTCAGGGTGGTGGACTCGAGGTCCGGCCCAGTCCTGGGTCTTCTGAGGGCAGAACTTGCAAAATAATCCACATTGTCCCCTTGTGGTTCAGTCACAGTTTTGGGCTCAATTAAAGTGCTAGGATGAGCCCTGCCATCCTCACCGGGATCCTGTGACTCAGAAAAATTTTGCAATTCCAGCAACACCGATTCAAGCATTTGTTTTTTTAACTGAAAACAAGTCTCTGACAAATCTAAACATTTCAGTTTCTCAGCCACTTCCAGCATGCGCTGTACCCGATCTTCTTCTACCTCTACCCGGGCAGTATAAACAAACTCCAGAAAAGAGGCAAAGTCAGCTACCTGGACTTCATTCAGTAACACAATGGTCCTTAGTCCATCCATGCCATTTTCATTAAGAAAGACCTCTTTGAAGAACTTGCTTGTGGCTGCCAGTACAGCTTTGTGAGCAACAAACTCAGCTCTGACACCTTGATATTCTACACTCACGGTGACATCACAAAGGTGACCCAGGAGACGCAGCTGGTGCATTTCATTCAGAAGGTTGATGGGTGAGGATTTGGATTCCAGAAGAACAGCATTACTTTCCATCTTCTTCCTCTCTAAAAATACATTATTACATGTTAATAGTCTGCCACACAAATGAGATTAACACCCCAAAGTAATGTTCTCCCATCAAGTTTGAAAAAAGAAATAGATCTATAAAATCTTCAAAATCCAGTTATGACCATTGATTGGAAGGGTCTCATGAGCCAAGGTGGCGCAGTGGTTAAATGCAGCACTGCAGGCTACTTCAGCTGACTGCAGTTCAGCAGTTNAAAGAAAGAAAGAAAGAAAGAAAGAAAGAAAGAAAGAAAGAAAGAAAGAAAGAAAGAAAGAAAGAAAAAGAAAAAAAGAAAAAAGAAATAAAAAGAAAAAAGAAAGAAAAAGAAAAAAGAAAGAAAAAGAAAAAAGAAAGAAAAAGAAAAAAGAAAGAAAAAGAAAAAAGAAAGAAAAAGAAAAAAGAAATAAAAAGAAAAAAGAAAGAAAAAGAAATAAGAAAGAAAAACACATTAGTTTCTTAGGAAATGTAAAATAATTTAGCTTTAGAATAAAATAATTATTTTGGAGGGGGAATCAACAGGCCTCCCCCCCCAGGTGAATAGAGAATATAGTAGTGCTATAGGGAATGTAGTATAGGCACAGATGTGCACATCACACCTGTCAGCAGCTTCTTCTGGCAATCTTTTTCCAGGCTGACCTGTGGTGACAGTTTTACCATCTCAGGAAAGGACACACTTAATTTAAAGAGGTGCCAACAGGTACAAAATGCTCTGAATTTGCTTCTCTCCTTTGAATGTGAATTACCACACAGCACTAGTATAAAGTGTAACTCTGTTGGGATTGTTTCACTTCACATTGGATATTCCATCCATTAAAAACTATTTCCTTACAGAAATATTGCAGTAGGCTTGTGTTAATGAATCAGCCATTCATATAGGAGACCTCCTCTTTATTCTAAATCAGGGGTGTCAAACCTGCGTTGTCATCCCGTCATCTCATGACATATCACAACTACCCCCCCTTCGCTAAACCAGGCATGGGTGTGGCCAGTGTGAGATGCTTCTGGTCTGTGGGCCGTGAGTTTGACAGCCCTGTTCTAAATGTCTATAGTGACCATAATTGGGTAGGTTGGTAAACATGAAGAACTTGAGAGATTATTGTGTGGACATCTAGATAGCATCATGCAGGTTGCTCTGCTGTTGAAGTCGCTATGTGGAGTTTCTCAAATGTCCTCTCTTCATGTCCGCTCCCCGAATTCTTCCCCATCCAATAACTCAGAAATGAGAACTGCATCAAGTAAGAGTTAATCCTGGACTTTTTCCTTAAACAAATTGGTTAGCTTGCACTTCCTGCGTAGAGCTTTTATACAATGCTCATTCCATTACTGCAGAGGTATACTACAATATATAAAGAAACAGATTAAAGTCTCAATAAAACCCATCTCCTGCACAAAAGTATTTAAAACAGCTGGTTCCATGTATATATTTTTATTCCTTGGAGCTCATGAATATTCCAGTGACAGATGGTATAATTGATATAAATCAACTTATGAAACACTATACTCTGTTTTCCAAAACACATATTTCTAGCACTAAAATCCATGATGCCATCATTCACAGGTAATGTTCAATAAAGCGGAGGGGGAATAAAGAGCTCTCTCAACTATATTGTAAATTATAGCATTGTCTTCTCTTGCAGCTGGACCTGGACTTTCTAATTGTAATAGGTAGTATGAAGGCCTTATTAACAAATTGAAGCATTGTAGTTTTAAACTGAGAAACATAAAACCGTGTTTTTTTAAAATCTGAGAAAGTATGTCATTGAACTTCAATTATTGTGTCTGAGGTTTTCTCTGATCATTCTACTGCTGCTGAAGACTAACATTCTTTGAGGTGGTAAAACTATTTCTATGCTTGTCTGAAAAACAGAATGATTTATCCATGGTCACTTTTAAGTTATGGGTGAACAGGATTTAAAGCTTTGGCTTTCTGGTCAAAATTACATTAGGCTGGTTCTCTGAGAATTGATTAGAGGAGTTACTGGCTTACAGAGCCTGCCAAGAAGTAAAGTTGTACCCAAGGTGGAGAATATAAAAATTCGGGTAACTCATACACCCTATTAAAAGAAACCCAATAAAACAAAAATTATGATTCTACCCACTTTGGAGTGTGGTACTTGTTACTCAAAAACCCAAGTGTTTATTAAGCTGATGAAAGTTGTGCTCCTTTAGTGTGACTAGACATCTAGTTTCTAAAGCAGTTCAGCAAGCTTGTGTGAAACACAAAAGAACAAAACCGATAGATATGAAAAATCTGGAGAATAGAACTGCTGTTAACAAGCTATGCCAAGCCACCATTGAGGCAGATTGGCCCTATTTTGACACTTGGAAGAGATGGAACTTCTGACGGAAAGCAAAGAGTAGTTCAACTGCATACTGTAGGAGGCAGTGGTGGGTTCTGTATTCCATTGCAACCAGTACGGTGGAGCGGGCCACATGAATGTGTGCAGCGTGCGTGCACAAGTGCGTAGCGCACACATGTATCCTTACCACTTGCAATGCCTCTGTGAGCCTCCGCGGCGCTCCAGCCGTGTGCAGAAGCGCCGAAGACCTCAAATACAGATAAGGAGCTTGGGTGGGCGCGTGGGCCCTCTGGAGCACCGTATAGGAACGATACACGGTGCTCTGCGCAGGCACCCATATGCCCGTACCGGGGTGTATCGCCTGCAACTCACCACTGGTGTGAGGTAGCTTATTTGTGGAATTCACCTTTCAACATCCCTTCTACACCATGAGATTGGTAAACTATGTCCATTTTTTCCTTCTTACCAGGGAATAGCATTTATTCACAATGCCAAGAATAAATATCTGGCATTTAAAAACCAATCAAGAGTGCATAGAAAGGAACCTTGATTAGTTACTTTGGGGTGTTTTTGTTGGACAATTTGGTTCCTTCTTGCAACAGGATACACTGATAAATCATCAGTTTTGAGGGAAGAATGGTGGATATCTCCCATCCATCCATTGAGTGGGAGATATCTAGTCTTTTATTCCCAGTGATGATTTAGGTAATGTGATATTTTATTGTGAAGCATGATTTAATAAGCTATATTCAAAATAATATTTTTGCAGTTGTTTCCTTTGTGCTAGTGTAATTAAGATTATAGCTAGTTCTTCAATGATATTAAATAACTTTTGTCAGCTAAGGCCTTTAAAGGAATGCCTGAGGAGCAACAGAAGAAAACAAGATTTAAAATCCAAAAAATATAGATTTGATATGAAAAAAAATTAGCAGTATTCAGAGGTGAATTTTGAGTATGAGGCAGAATTTCTATAGATTAATTTCACAAGTCTGGTGCTCTGCCCTAATCCTCAGTCAACTATTAATACCAATAGGTAGTGGGGCAAGTAGTCCATACCTAGATTATAGATTGAATACTTATTTCACACTAACTGTTTAGGCTCTGCTGAGTTCATTGGGATAAACTCATAAACACATACATAAAGACTGAACTGGTTAGAAGGCACAGATCAGGAAATCACCCAGAGAACTTCCATGACTG